ACTATTAATTTACATCCTCATAATTTCTTTGGTAATGCCTGGTTTACCAAACAAAAATGTTGACAAGATATATAATCATGCAAGGAAAAAAAAAAAATCTGTATTCCTCACTCCATAATTAGCTTAATATACACCAGGCTGTATATCTGCATTTTACTAAAAAACTATTACAAAACAACTTCAGCATTGACAGCACCAGACACTTTCCTCACAATAAGAAAAGGCCTATACCATAATTTACGCTACTGAAACCACAATCAGTAAACCAATAAGGACGCAAAGAAAAATATTTTTAGACATTAGCACACACTGCAAGCATTTGGCGTATTCATCACAGAGAGCCTATGATTCATTACCCTGGTCTTGATAGCTATCCTCTAATTACATTGCCGGGCTAGAGGCTAAAGTCACTATGCATAATAAAACCATGCCATGAAGAAACTCTGCAAAATTCAGTAAGCTACCAGGAGGAGTCTTTCAGTATAACTAATAACAAAGTTAATATATAAGAAAGACTTGATTCTCTCTGTAAAACCAAAATTTACTTCGGTATTCACAAGAACACAAGCAACCAAAATAAGTAGGACAGAGTTATAAACACATGAATTTGCACTCCAGGACAGAGCTGTCCACGATAATTTTAAGTGTGCAAGACAAGTTTGCATTCTCCCCCCTGAACCCTAATATACTATCTTTTTGAGCAACCAAGATCTGCAACTCAAATAAAACACATAAATGTTAGTTAAGATAGTGACTGAAGATGTCATCTTTAAAACCTTCTGCTGCCTCACATAGGTTTTCATGCCTATCAGTTATCTGGCCAAACACCTCATGCTGAGAAAAAGAACACATTAGAAGAAAAGACATCTGGCTACAGCTGGGGTTTTCCCATGCCAGGTGCAGCCCGCGTGTGCTGCCTGCACACACCATGGAACAGCACCCAAACCAGTCCCACAGGCTGTGGAACAGACCCAGGTTCTGTATGCCAGCTTAATCCCAAAGAGGTGATTATTTCTGAGTTGCACTGATTCCATGTTAAAAGAGAAATAAGCACCATTTGGAATATCCATGGCTCTAAAAACAAGGGTTTTTTTCAAACTAGAGAGAGCTGTAAATCATTACTGTATAATATTTACAATGACTGCTTATTTATTAACAGTTCTACTGCATTTCTCATTGCTGTATCTGAGATATCACCCTTTCATGTGTTCCTATACATCACTAGGGCAATTTCAAGAGTCATACACTGTGTCCCTTAAATAACAAGAGACAGTATTTCGTTTTATAAAGAAAAGGCAGGAAAGGAAGACCTTGTATGAACATGTAATACAGACTGTAGGAAAACAATACTAAAGTTTGGATATAAGGTAACGAAAAGTACATTTATCAAAGAAAATACAGACCAGCAGATCATCACCAGGACTCTTAAGAGATCTAGAGAAAACACAATCTGCAAAATCTTTAGGCAATCTCATGTTTTTCTTGTTACTTCAATACCAAGAATTGTATTTTTCATGGGAATGTATTACTCAAGTGACATTACTAGTTCTGTGTAAGCCTTCCCAGTTAAATGGGTTAATCACAGGTGAGATGACTGGGACCAAGTTCAGAGAAATTAAAACTACTTCTGAAAAGGGACTGAAGTACGTAATAGATTTTATCTTTGAAGCCATGGTGAGGACTGCAGCTGGCAGAGCAAAAGGCTAGGGTAGGAGCGGAGAAGAGAAACAGAGAAATGGAGAACCCGAGATCAGATACTGATATGAGGTAAGATGGCAGGGCAGGGAGACCAAGACACAAGAGAACCTGGAGAAAAAAGGGGCTGAATTCTACCAGGGCCCAAGTCTAGGTTTTTATGACTATGCAAGTAAAACAGTACAAAATTTAGTAAAAATCTGTTGATTCAAAAAGTATTTTTAGTATTTAAAAATACTTCTTGGTACTCCTATTGAGTACTGTTTTTAAAACTTTATGAGTTACAAATCAGTGTTTTCCTTGCAAAATCTGAACCCCAAACCTGTCAGGACCCTGAAGAGATCTCAGTCCAACCTTACAGTCCAGATCAAGACAAAGACATTAGCACTCTACAATGAAGATTTTAAAATAGTTTTTGTTAATAGCCTGCACTTAATTTTTTCCAGTTTCATAATGAAGTATCAGCACTAGGTATGTTACACAGCTTCACTACCAAATGTGTTTACTTTAAAAGAAGGGGAGTGGAGCTATCATATCCCAGGCAAAAGACAAAGCTTTCAGCTTTGCTTAACCTGAACTATAACCCCATATATTACACCAGCATTTTCAGGTAACAATGAACAATCAATGAAAGAACATAACCTAAAACTTTCCTCTGCCACACTTCAGTATAATGGAAACAGTAAATGCCAGCCAGCCTTTTCATTGTCTCCTGATCCTGAGAATTTAAAAAGAAGAGCACCTTTCAGAAATGAATTTTTGAAGACTTAGTTTTCCATCTCAGTACACACATGGTAGACAGCAACCATTTTGAAGTATTAAAGTTTAAAATTATTACCTCTGTACAAATAGTCTGCTCAGCATTCCATCTGCTTTGCACCAGTTTCACTATTTCCTGTGCTTTTATTGCTCCATGCAATACCTTATAACCAACCTGGTTATTTCTTAAGAGGTTTTGTGGGGCAGTGACTTGTGCACTTTGGCTTTCACCTTTGAATTTAGAACTGTAGGCTCTTTTGGATACCAACCAACCATATCTACACTTAGTGCACATTGCTATCTTTGCTCTGGAAACAGAATGATCAAAATGCTGTAAGAGGGTATACAGCACATGTAGCTAGTCATCTGTATTTGGATATCAACAGATATACAATGTGTTTTATTCAGAAAGTAAACAAGCACCCTCACTTATGAGGTTATGAAGGGACAGAGCAAAGATCTAGCCTATCTCATCAGTTCCCCTAGCCACCTACAGTTTCAGCTTCCAAAAGTTTCTTTGTCCTACTTTCATCAATTACTTTATGGGAAAATAACTGTATATTTCGAAGATTATTATATATGCTCTATGCTCAGGTACGGTGTTACATGCTACAGCGTCGGACACAGAGGCAGGTACGCAGCTGTCCGGCCGGATCAGGCTGGCACACCGCAGCCCCTCACCCCGGCGCGCACAGAAGGGCACACGGCATTACTAGCAGTAAAGCGGGCAGCGTGTTGGCCTCGCAAACACCGCCGATGCGGCGGGCTGCGCGCACCGGCAGCAAACTTTCGGCAAAGCCCCGGCATGAGCCCACCGGGCCGTTCGTGCGTCCCCCCAGCTCCCCTCTCCGGGGGCGGGGGACCCGGCCTGCACAGGGGTGAGGCCTTCCCTGGCCCTCCCCGGCTCGGGCGCCCCCGCACCCCCGCCGAGCCGTGCCCACCCTCCCCCGCCGCGGCCGGGCCGCCGGCACCGCCGCTCTCCCTGCCCTCCCTACCGCCCCGTCCCCCGCCCAGGCCCAGCGGGCAGGCTCAGCCCAGGCCGTGCTTCGCTTACCCCGGGCCTCGGTGAGAGCAGCACCAGCAGCGCGGCCAGGCTGAGGAGGTGACGCGGCTCCATGGCTGCCAGCCGCGGGGGCTCGGCGGGCGCCGGGCCGGCTCCCCCCGCTGGCGCTGCCGCCGGCCGCAGCGTGTCCGGGGCGGGGCGGCCCGGCCGGGCCACCGACGTCAGCCGCGGGCGGCCCCGGCCGCGCACAGGTACTGCCCGCCTCGCCGAGGGGTCCGGGACCCCCTGTCCCTCCCGCCGTCGCCTTCGGGTTCCCCCGCGGTGCGATTTCGGGCCCGCGTCCAGCGACGCCCCTTGGCTTCGTTTTGCTGCCGGAGCCTCCCCGTTTGTGCTAATCCCTGACAAAACTGCCGCCTGCCCGGAGGGGGGGCTCGGCCAAGAGCCACATTTTAAACCGCGGGGTGCAACAACAGCTGGCTGCTGCTGTGTTTGTTTTGTTTTTTTGTTGTTGTTGTTTTATTTTGTTTTTTTTTTTAAATGCCTCGTGGGTAAATGCAGTCTTAACGAGTAGCCTCCCTCCGCCAGCACCGCCCTGCCCGGTACAATTTCCTTATTGATTTTTGCGCTTTCAAAGTGGATCGGGTCAAATCTATTTGGCATAGCTCCTGGTTTGACAGTCACTGTTGACCCTGGTGTGCCTTGCAATGCCTTAAATAAATGCAAAACTAAAGAACATGCCTCTTTGAACCAAAAACTATGTCCAAGCTCCTCTGAACAGATAAATATAAACACAAAAAATACCGAGTCAAACGGAAGAAGCTTTAAAAACAAGAGAGTAAATTTATACTGCTTGGCAAAGGCCTAGCTTCCAGATGCCTGTTTATATAACAAAGCCACTTTGTCCTTGCTACACATTGTTTGCTTTTTAACACTGATACCACTAATGGAGCCACAGAGCACACTGAGTACTAAGTATGCAATACGCACATAACAGATCGGCTCTGGCAGCTCCCTCTTTCAATAAGTGTGCATTTGATTATATGGGCAGGAGGCATAATTATGATCTAACCTGCAAGCTCGAATACATAAAAACATGCTGGAGCTACAAAACCACACCGAGATTTCATTTCTCCAGTACTGACAGATGGGTTTCTTTATGAAGGTCTTGGATTTTAAGCACTCACGCCATTTGAGAACAAGCATGCCATGGCAACAGCACGGACAAGAGGCACATCTAGACCTCTACCACACGTACACGAAGTCCTTGTAACCACGCACAAAGACAGCTACCGCAGGCAGCTGTGCTTGTGTGGAAAGCCCACGCGATGCTGTGCAAGATCTAGGGCCTCCCCTGAAAACAGAGCAGGGTGTCGGTGCCTTTGCTCCGCTGCTTCCGCTCAGCTCCCGCCACAGCACCACAGGATGGCAGCATTTCCCTTCCCACCGGCCTCCACCTTCCCCGGGGAAAAAAAACCGCTTGTAGCTGCCGTCCCGCCCTTTAGTCTGAAAATTGGCTGGCGAGTTTACGTATCCTTACCTCTCAACGTATAAGCTTGAAGTTGAACTTCATGCCGTGCTACGTTAAAGGAGGAGTTTCTCAATTGCGCAGACACCGCATCTGGCACTACCAAATTGCAGTTATTTAACGCGAGTGCCCTTCAAGAGGTAGGAAAAACGTCAAAACCAGGGTCTGAGGCGGCAGGAGGCCACCCGGGGCGGGAATACGAGCGTTGCGGTGCGCCCTCCGGCTCCCCTCGCACCTCTCCTCAGAAACTGAGGAACCACCTGAGGTAGGCAGCTCTGAGATCCGAGCGGAGCCTAAGCTTTTACATTTTACATATTAAGCCCTATTTCTTAACAGCAACAAAGTGCTGGAGCAAACTACTATGGAATAGTAGCACCATTGTTTCCGAAAAGGCGAATAAAGCCACCCAACGCGCCGGCAGAACTCAGAGTAACCAAGCTCCCTCAGAACATTCCCGCCTCCGGCCCGCCACCACCCCAGCGCTTCCCTCGCGCGCAACCGCATCAGCACGTTCCCCACCCCCGTGCTTGACTCCTATTGGTCGAAACGAGGAGGGGCGGGGTGCCGGGGCGTCGGTTGCTCTATAAAAAGGAGCTCCGCGGGAATTCGGCCTTTCGGTCAGCACGGCTGGTGGAGGTGAGCGGGAGCGGTGGGTGGCGGCGGGGAGCGGGCGGGCAGGCAGGCCGGGCCGCAGTGATGTCTCTTGACACGTGTTAGACTGCTGACATGCATGAAGCAAACCTACTACTGAGCGCCCAGGCAGCCGCCCGACCGGTGGGGCGGCTGCGGTGCAACCGCGTCTGTAACCTTCCCCCGTTTCTCTCTGTGTCTCGCAGGGCTTGTGTGGCGACCGCCGGCGGCGGGGAGCGGCCTGGCAAATAAAAGCTGTGTCCACCCCGCGGACGTGTCCGGCTGTTTCTTTTCGCGCGTCTCCGCCCGTTCCCCGCACTGCCTTTGACCCGGCGGGGTGCCCTGCCCGCGGCGCCGCTGGCCAAGCTGCAGTGCTAGAGCGAAGCACTTGTTCATAACTGGGGCCGCTCGGCACGACCCGAGTGGCCCTTTTAAAAGCAAGGGACAGCTCGCTGGGGCCAGCCCTCCCCAGCCGGGGCACGCACAAAATGGCGCCGCAGCCTGAGGGGGGGGGGCGGTGCCCCGCTCGGGAAGGGGCCGGGCCGGGGCTGGCCTGAGCCGAGCTCCCGGGAGCCTGCGGCGGGGTACGGGGGGGGGGGGTCAGGGTGGAGAGGGAGCTGGGTTACCCGGGCTCTGTCGGTTAACCCAGCCTATGCCACCGCACTAGTTTTTCCCTGACGTAGTTGAGGTATGTTTGGAACAGGTAGCAAAAGTCCTGGGATTCCTGCCTTGCTCTTGCAGGACCAAAGTACCTGGGTGAAGGTGAGCCAGCATCTGTTTTTGAGGGTCCTTTGTGCATACAGCAAAAGAGAGCTTGAAACAAAATAGGAATTTTGTTCTGGTGACCTAAGCTGCAGCTAAAGGGCCTCGATCTTTTTAATAGTTGTACCCCTACAGGCAAAGAGGCTGGAGTTAGCAGGTGTTACTTATATAGATACATGCATGCAAGGTTAAATCTGTACCCATATTGGTGCCAGGACTGGACAGAGGAGTACCTGAGTCCTCCTTACGATGACTGTAAATGAGGTGGCTTTTACCACCAAACCTATTACAGAGGGTACTGCATGCAATCTCTGGTCTCTAACTCCTAGTAAATACAACAGGGTGTCTGCATGTGTAAAATAAAAACACATTTTTAAAGCACCTTCCTCATGTAAATATTAACTGCTGCAGTGAAATCTTGTTTCTCTTTGCTACAGTAGAATTGCTCAATTTAAGCTTTTCCTTTTAGAGCTAGAGCAGTCTCAGCATTGGTAACCCTAAAATCACATACCATAACCACCAAGTAACTTGGTATATATATAAAAATGTCCGGAAAGGACAGCATGCTATATTGTCTTAGCAAGTTGCCTTTCTAAAGTTTTTGAAACAACTTGCAGAAGACAGTGGCTAAGCACAGTGTAGAAATAAATTCTAACTGAAAAATAGTTTGACATGGGATAAATTTATTTAATAAAACAAAGCAAGCAGATTGTAGTTACCCACAGTTTATGAAGTGCAATATGACAATCTTGTGTAATAAGTCTAAATCTGTTTACACATTAGTGCATCTAGTCCTTTGACTTTAGTTATTGCACATAGAAATTAAATCATATAAAAGACCTGCGTACAAGACATGCAGACTTCATGAAAGGCAAATAATGCCTATGTAATCAGAGCAAACCCCAGAATATACACAGCCTGGAATGGTCAAGGAGGAGTTCAGGTAACAAATATAACCTACTAATATTTCAATTAAAGGTAACCAAAATAGGTGTTCAAATATAGAATTAATTTTAAATATATTAAATGCTAGTTTTTTATGTTTCAGGCAAGGTGCTGTTTAAAAAACCTTCGATATAATAGCTTCATTTAGAGGTGGTAAATCATCAAGTTATACATGGAAATTTTGATTTACATTAAATGTGACAACAAAACGTACAAAAAAGTTCTTAAAAAATTACTCCTAAAAAAAAAAAAAAAAAGCAAATCATATTATAAAAGGAGAGCCAAAACTCACCTTCTTTGTAAACTAAAACATTTTCTGACATCCATGAACAGTTGGCAACACCGAGTATCAGAAAAATATTACATGTGTTAAATAGTGGATATGTAGTGTTCAAATATTGAATTTACTGCATACATTTAGTCTTGAATCATACCAGATAGAAATAAAAGGCAGTTGCCCCTCCCCCCTTAGTTTTGGCCATTAATTAGCAGAAACAGTCTTTAATTACATCGTGATCAGCTTGAATAACTGCAATGCTTGAATTCCTATTCCACAAAGTCCAAAAAAACAATGCATGGGGGCAAAATCTTCCAGTCACAGCTGTTTTCAGTCACAAACATCAAGCGATTTGATACCTGGAGTTGCACAGCTGTAACATGAGAATTTGGTCCCATGCTTTGCCTGTAAACACAGTGCAATGGAAAAGACTCACAGCAACAAACTAACAAAAAAACTTGGGTGTTTCATTGTAGCAAGAGGCTCTATACACAGTAGGGTAACTATGTACTTCTGGTCATGTGCAGTACTGACGTTTTACCTGTGTGCTCATGTCTTTATAAACATTCAGAATTAATCATGAACCAAGGTGATTGTACCTCACTATAAGGCGGCTTCCTATGGTTTGGTCTCATGGCTTTACCAACTTTTTTCTCATTTACAAAAATTTGATAGTCCCACCTTCACTAATAGTTGTGTATGTTTTATGGCTACTTGCTTCCCAAAAAAAAAGCACAAGTTCTGTATGAAAAAAGTAATATGTATATATCACACTGAACTACAATATTACCTATACATCCAATTTACATTCTTTTATCCTGAAAGCATTTCATATTTCAATTGCTTGACACAAGCTATTGACTGCAGAAGTGAAAGAACATAAAACAGTTCATTCTACACCTCCAACTGCCTGAGAAAGAAAAATATTCTTCCAGTTTTATAAATTCATTCCTTATTTAGGACTTTTTCCATTTGGCACACAGTTCCTCTGCTGCCAGACAACCTTTCAATGCTTTAATGCACGTTAACATAGCATGAAAACATAAGCTGAACAAAAGGTGTGTCAACAAGCTCCTTGATCTATTACAGTTAGGTTTCTCCTCCCTCTCTCAAAGAACAGGTCATCTTAGCCACTGAGTTAAAATCCTCATGGCAGCCAGTAAAAAAAATAAATGCTTAATGGAATGAAATTTCATGTAGGTGAAGTACACAGGAACAATAACCAGGCAAGTGAGCACAATGGTATGGTTATAGGCAGTCCTTGTGGGGGGAAAGGTGGCACAAGTCAAGGATGAGAACTACAGCACAGTTTATAAAACCATGAGAATAATTTTTATAATACTGTAAACTGCAAGAGTCTTCACATGTCATGGTTGATCAGGGGCCTCCATGATCACATCTTTAGGAGGGCATGTAGAAGAGCGAGGATCCATGGCCGAGTGCATTAAAGGAATATAAACATCATCCATGTTTGGCATGACAAAGATTTTCTGTGGAAAAGATGCAATTAAATTAAGTTACGTTTCATATGTCACTTGAAACCCTAGTTTTCTGATTTGTTTAGTTAAAAAATGCAACAAATTTCCAGATAAAAGGTTCTTGAGTTCAGCATTATTTGAATCAATGTCCGTACTGAAGCCCTACGGTGTCCATTAACTTAAGTCATTTAGTCGTATTACAGTTGTAGATGAAGCTCAGAAATATGAAACTATCTGCACTTTCCATTGAATTAACACTATAGGAAACACCATCTTTTCTTAACTCTGCTGCTTTCTCAGCTCTTACTCATACACTTTCAAACTGTACTTTTAATGAAGCAAGAGGGTTTGGTTTCTGGTTGACTGTACAGGTTGGGGTCCGGAATGAACCTGGGCAGTAAACTGTTTTCCCATCCTAAAAGTACTTGTAGTTTTGGAGGTTCCTTTTCCTGTTTTGCACTATGGTTAATGTGATTTTAAAAAATTATTTTATTATAAAGGAGGTAGTAACAGGGCACCTTAAGGCCTTATCTTAATTTTAGAGAACAGTTTGGTCCTCTATCATCTAAGAACACCTAGGATCATGTTTTTATTTAAGTACTACAAATTCTGACATAGTACCTATTTCAAAGAAATGGCATTTTCAGCTCTAAAATCACTCTGACAAGTGCTAAAAGAGACTTCCATTCAGATCTACACATGGTCTTGAGACCATCCCGGACATCAGTTTCAGCTTGCATCAACATTCTTTCCACTGAAGAGGAGCAGTGGAGAATACCGACTAGTCTTGAATGAAATAGGGGACATGCAAAAATTTTAAAACCCCACCCCTCTAATACACCAAAACTATCATTCATGAAATGAAAATGTAAAGGAAACACACCTGAAACTCTTGTTCTAGTTTCCTCTCTATCCAGTCAGTTACATGAACCAGAGTCACTTCTCTCTCACCAAGTTTTGGCCGAGCTTTTAACTCCAGGTAGGGAGGTCTTCGAAAGCCGTACCTTAGGAGAGCACACAGAACAGGCTTTATTACACACATTCCAAGGAAGCATATATTTGAATGTGTTAACTGTCAGTGTTCTCCTAATAGCAGTTTCTACCTCATTTACAATTATTTTGTATTGCACCTCTTCCATAAGCTATTTCAGATACATTTTACCTTTTTTTTTTGTAGTTGTAATACCTTAGGTAGCAAACAACTGAAATATTGCCCAGTTCTGCACTAAGTTCCTCTTACCATATTCTGTCAGTAGGTGGAGGTGGAATGTTAATTACTAGTGTTCCTCTACACTCTTGTACTTCAACTGTTAGCAGCAATGGAGTATTGGAGACCTCTTCAATTTTCTTCTTAATAAACTCAGTCTCTGTTGCTTTCTGAAAGTATTTTGACTTAGTAATTTTATCGACAATTCTCATGATCTTACTTGTCCGATGTCCTCCGACATACCTTTACATAGGGAAAAAAAAAAAAAAAAAAAAAAAAGAGTACATCAAGGTAATTTTCTTAAACCTATTGTTTGATAAGACACCCATGGATTTCCTATTAAGTCATTAGGGATTTTGATATAAAAATTCTAAACAGATATGTATTCACATGTCCAATCAGTATCTACCAGAGTCTGCGCACAGCAGACATATTCTGTCAGCTACAAGTGTCTGGCAGAAATTCTGTCCGTTCTGAACACTCCTCCTTCCCAGATGACATTGGAAATACAACATTTTGAAAAATTGCGAATACACTTACATCATTTATGCCAGCAAGCTGGCATGAGAAGTGACAACTTGTCTATTACCATTCTAACAA